AGGCGCTCGTGCGCTGGCGGCTGTTCCATCGCACGGGACAACCTCTCGTCGAGAACGCGGATGCCGATGCGGAGGACCTTGACGCGCGGGATGTGACGTACCTCAACCCTGCCGACTTCACGGGTCCCGAACGGAGTCCGCCGCCGCCGAACGCGCCGAGGCTGTTTTGTATCCTTGGTGATTTGGAGAACGAGCCGGCACACTGGGAGCGGGCTTGGCAGATTTCGAACCGGCGGTTCGCGCGCGCGCAGAAGTCGTTGGGAGAGTGGTACCTTTCGCAAAAGGAGTGGACTAAGGCGCAGGATGCGTATAAGCTTGCGACGCAATGTAACCGGTTGAGTCCTGAGATGTGGAGCCGTTTGGGCGATATCAGTCTCCGGCTAGGCCAGTTTCCGGATTCCGCGGAGGCGTATAGCCGGGCGATTGGTGCCGCTGGGGATGTCGTTGGCGGCGAGGACGCGAGAACGTGGAGTAACCTAGGCAGTTCGCTTTGGAGCATGTACCTCGAGGCCGTGGAGGAGGTGAAGAAGCAGATTATCAAGGAGAAAAAGAATGGCACAACAGAAGCAAAGGCGGAAACCGCAGGAGAAGGGGAAGAAGACGACGAGGAGCCAAAGAAGCGGGAGAACAAGGCCAAGGACCCGGCTACGCTGCTATCCCAGTCCCTGGCGGCATACAAGCGCGGCGCGTCGATCGCGCAGGATAACTGGCGCATCTGGGACAACGTCCTCACCCTCGCCTCGCGGATGCGTCCGCCCGCCGTCTCGGAGATGGTGCAGGCCCTCCGGGCTATCATCCGCATCCGCAACACCGAGGACGCGCTCGACGATGATGTTCTCCGTGCGCTGCTGCAGGAGAGCGTGCTTACCAAAGAGAAGGAGAATGATGAGGATAAGACGGGGGTGTACGCCCCGCCGCGCGGTACTATTGAAAAGGCCGTCATTGGGCTTTTTGAAGAGAGTGTTGTGCCGCTTATCACCACGCGCTCGGAGCTATGGGAGCTTATTGTCCGAGAGCGTGTGTGGAGACGGGATTACGCCGGCGCCGTGGATGCTGCGGAAAAGGCTTGGAGGGCGGCGATGGGGGCCGGTGCGGGAGGCGGGTTGAAGGCTTCTTCGGCCGGGTCGGGGGGTGCCGGGGATGATTTGAGCCGGAACTGGCTTGCGGATAAAGGGGCGTGGAAGGTTGTTGTTGCGAGGACGGATGAGCTTGTTAGTGTGTTGGAGAACTTTGGGAGCGAAGTTGAGAATGTGGGCAGTCGGTGGAGGGGTAAGGCGAGGAATGCGGTGAGGAGTGTGATGAGTAGAGGAAAGGAGGCGTGGGAGGGGACGGAAGAGTGGGTGTTGTTGGAGGGTATGATGGAGGGGTTGAAATTGTGAGGCTTGAGGCCGTGTTGACGATGGATGGCGTGTTAAGCTAGATGTCTATCACACGGTAGATGAACAAGTTTACTTGAGCACATAAATACGAGCCAAATGACATGATGGCAACCATCTTCACAGCTCGCCAACCGTGATGGTTCGGATGAGTTTTGAGATCCCATGGATGAGCATATCTTAGGGGTAGTTAGTATCAATCACTAACCTATGAACTTTACACAGATCTTCGAGAAAAGTCCTTGGCCTGTTGAATAGTGAGATAATCTCATCACGAGAATCCACCAAAGTTCACGCTGCAAGACCTGCCCTGCATCAGTGAGATCAAGAGTATGCTCATCATCCAGGTTCTGGAGTATCATCGACAACCCCGATGTCCTTGAGTTGGGTAACCTTCTCATTATCTCGTATCCGTGAATCACTTCACGGTATCCTCTTATCTCATGGCCTAAAAACTCACCACAAGTTCGGATGAGCGTTCACTGAAGCATGAGAGTCTGGAGACTTGGGATATGAGTCACCCATCAATGCGCCACTTCCTAATTATCTCCTACATTATTTGGGATGAGATTCCATGTGATTAGCTTCATAAACTACCTCACTACGCAAATATCCCTTCAAGAGTTGAGAGGTCTCGACCGCCGTGCTGCCTAGAGTCCAGACTAGGGGAACGGGCCCCGGTTCAGGGGTGGCCCGGAAAAGCGGGGATGATGGGACCGGGGAAATCAGGCAGACTACCCGGGTCGAGCGGCACGGTGCTCGGTAGCGTTTGTTAGTCGCAGTTCTGCCTGGAATTCATCCCCGTCCGATGCCATGTGAGTTAGGTTCGAACTTTGACTTCATTCTTGAAAGCGTATGAAGTCTATGTGTAGTTACTGGATATAAAGGTCAGAGGGAATGGCCATTGGAAATTCATATCAGGAGAGTCAATCACCTTCAACCAGATCATTGACGCCTATCCTCATCAACAACCTACCTCAACACGGGTACAGGACATGTACATCCTCTACGACAAGAAGAATCATTCAGATCATACTGCACACGTTCAAATGCCTCCCATTTCAGCTCAAGAAACCGCCACCATGTCCCTGAGATTTAATAACTTCACTGACGGTGAGACGGTTCACCAGGTACGTGATGAACGCACACCATCACTAAGAGCACATCGTCTGAAAGATGCCCTTCTAACTTCGACCTCAAATAGCGCTGTGTAATTATCAAAGGAACTTACACGCCTGGCCCCAACGCCGGCGATGACTTCGCAACAGTCGAAGCCAATGACGGCACAAACACAACCTTCCCAACCCAAACCTGGCCCATCGCAGATAACAGAATCAAGATCATCGCCCTCCTCTCCCCAGGCCTCAACAAACTCACCATCACCCGCACATCTGACACCCAAACCATCACCAAGCAACTCAACCTCACATACATCCCCCTCCTCCAATCGCCCCCTCTTCACCTCGCCATCATGGTCGCAAAGGACTCTCCCCTCCTCATCGACTGCCCGCCCCTCAAACACGGCGCCTCCTCCATGGCTCACTCCTCCCTCGACGCCGCCATCGGTAAGCTCCGCATGTCCGCGTACATGTGGCAGGCTCTTACTGCCGAGGACATGCGACTCAAGGGTCTCGGCCGCCGTTCCTTTAGACTGGAGGAGGAATGGGCCGCCGACACGACCAGCCGCGCGTTTCTGAACGGGCTGCACGAGGCTGCTCTCTTTGATAGCGGCGCCATGCGCTCTACTGCCAAGGTTCATGTCATTCGATCGGAGAAGACAACGGCGGAGATCCGTGACGCGGAGGTTGCGCAGCAGAATGCGGACGCAAAATCAAGAGATGGGTTGTTTGACTATTTTTTGGAGGCGCTTGCGGCTCAGGGGTCGCCTTTTGAGGCCTCGGCGCATCCAGTTGTTGCGGGAATGATTCTTGATTCGCACTTTTCTGTGAGCAAGAAGCTTATCCTCGGTCACGCCGCACTTGGATGCCATAACCCGACTGGTGTGTCTCTCGGCATGATGGGCAGTCACCTGGCGTACTCCTGGCCGCGGTTCCTAGAGGAAGTCTCGGACTGTCTTCTCGACACCCGCGCCCCGGGCAACACAGTCGGCGACGACAACGGAGAGTGCGGGACGTTTTGGGAGGCTTGTTCGATTGGGCAGGGCGCGTTCTTGCACGAGGTCGGCCATGCTTTTGGGGCTCCGCATACAACTGGTATCATGGCGCGCGGGTACTCGGGTCACTGGCCTCGGAACTTCTTGGTCAAGATGGCGTACTCCCAGAAGATCAACAAGGAGGGTTTCGTCGTCGTTGATGGCCAGACGGAGAATGACGCTAGGTGGGATCTACGGGATGCACTCTCCTTCCGGTCCCTCAACCACTTCTGGCTGCCCGGCGATACCAGACTGTCGGCGGCGCAGCGATCGAGCGCTCCGACCGTCTCTCTCATCAATATTGAGACTGAAGATGTCGGGGTTGAGATTGCCTGCGCTGCCAATCTCGCCCGCTTGGAGTTCAACGGCAAATCCGAGCTCCTTCCATCCATGGACTGCCCGGCGTGGAAGGTCTCCTATACCCTCAAAGAACTCGAAGCCCGCTTCTCCCGTGACGAGAGCCTGAAGCTTTACGTGCTCGGTATGAACGGTAAGACAAAGACGGTGCGCGATCTCTGGCGCCTTTTCTCGTCTACCACGTACGTCCGCATTCCCGGGTCGGACGTCCTTCTGCGCAAGCGATCCGTCGTGACCAAGGACCTCGAGGAGTCGGCCGATGATGGCGAGGGAGAAAAGTTCTGGTCGTGGGCGACGCTGCTTACTCGGCGCAAGAGAGATGGATCTGTTGTGCATGCGACTTCGGTTGATGTGCGGACTGGGTGTATTCTTGACGGCGCGTACGTGCAGTTTCCTGGCGGCGATCGAGTGAACTGTGGTCCGAGGATCAATAAGTGGGGTGGTGGTCCGCATACGTTTGGTGGCCATGCCTCTGAGGAGGTTAAGATTCCCAAGGGCGCGGAAATTGTCAAGATTGAAGTGTCTAGGGAGGAGGATACCCTTCGCGGTATGAGGATTCACTTGAGTGATGGCTCGTCTGGTGGTGCTTTGACGGGATATGGGGATGTTCCCGAGACCTCGACTCTTGGTGAGTGATCTGATATCCGATGTGCCCCATGAAATTGCTAACTCGACATGACAAAACAGAGGCGCAAGCGGACGAGCGTATTGTCGGGTTCTATGGCCGCAGCTGGTGGGGCAGCAACTTTGACGGCTTGGTTGAGTTTGGTATCATTACCGCGCCCAAGGACTTTGAGCTGCCGGGGGCTGTGTACGGAATGACGGAGCTCCAGAACACGGAAGGGGGTCTCGGGGTATGAATCTTTGTTATCTCGTGAGATCGTTTGAATAACGGCAACTAATATCTTCTAGGGTGAAGCAGATTTCGAGAGTGGGGATGAGGAGATGGACGACGAGTAGAAAGCGACGGTTTACGGTCGCCGAGGCTGAACCAGCTCCAGAATTCTATATTGATATGATAGTCATGAAAGAATTGCCTGCATTATTTCTCTCTTCACGTGCAAGGCCGAGCATTTGTTTACCCTCGCTGTAAGCTTTTTCTTAACACGATCTACTTAATCCGACGAAGACGCCGCTGACTGAGACAGAAGCATAATCTCTTCTTCAACCATTCGCAATGGATCGTACGAGCCCGCTTCCTTCATGAGCTCCTCTGCTCGCCTCTTATACTTCTCATCACCCAGAACCTCTGCTACTGCCTGCTCAACGGCCTTCACAGATGGAGGTGACTCTTCCAGAAACACCCCCAAGCCAGACCACTCGATTCTTCTTCCGATATCTGGCTTATCAAACGTGTTCCCCGCCTGTACCATGGGTACGCCATTCGAAACCGCATGCTGGAACCCTCCGTACCCGCTATTCGACACAAAGACGTCCGCGTGCGCCAGGATCGCGTCGTACGGGAAGTAATCCACGACCCGAGCATTTACGGGCAATTCAGCGTGCTCGAAAGGGCTGATGTCGAGAGTTGCTCCGGCAACGCAGAGACAAGCGACAACTAGAATATCGTGACGTGTAGCCAAGGCCTTCATTGTTGGGATGATGAGTTCTTTGTGGTCAAGGACTTCGGTTCCCTGCGCCACAAAGACAATCTTCTTGCGGGTGAGATTCGTTGCCTGGAGGGATGAGCTGTTTGAAACGATGTCGTTGAACCACGTCGGATATGTGAGGTTAGACGGGATCGGTTTGATCGGGAGTGTCCCCGCGAACTTGATTTTCCGTGGCCAGTCTGATGATGGAAATTCGAGGCTTGGAAGACACATCTGTAGCACTGAATCGTGGCAGATGGTTGATGCGTCCCAGAACGGATGTTCCATGCTCGTTGCGAGCCCACCGTAAAGACACTCAACAGCCTTAGGACATCCCATCATCCCCAAGACCCATCTCGCACGATCTTCAGCGGCGCTGTTCCACGTCTCTTTGAGTACTCTGATATTCCTTGCCCGCCCTTTCTCGCTGTCGTCGAAAGGCAGTCCAGATCCCCATGGCGGCCGTTCAGGGCTAGTCCAGAACACTGGAACGACGCCGATCCCAATAGTCCGAATCACCTCATCTTCCTCGAACAGTTCAGGCAGGTCGGTGCCCAACTTCAACGCCAGCGTCCCAGAGAAGCACGTATCCGACAGCATCATGATCTGGCAGCCGGGCTCTCGTCGCCTAATACCTGCCAATGCCACTCGCACTGATTCCAGCCCGCTTGGTAGCAACGAGATGAACCCTCCATCGAGAGACGCGGCTAGTCTCGTTGCTGGATCCGCTGCCTGTGCGATGTCTGGCCAGCGAGATGGATCGTCGAGGGTTTTCCAGAGTCCGATGATGGGACTGAAGTGGGCCCCGACTGCTTCGATTGTGTCATTCCACCGCTTTGTTCCCAAGACCGTGACGTCGAAGCCGTTGCTGATAAGGTGTTTGGTAATCTGAAGCGCTGGCCGCATGTGTCCCTCGCGTGGAGGTACAGCGTAGAGAACCCGAGGTTTTGTCTTTTGTTGGACTAGCATTGTGTCTGAAGAGATGCCACGGGCTACTCGAAAAGAACAAAAGGAGGCATACGGCTTCGATGGTTCTAGCCTTTGGTCGAGTTTTCGTTGGGATGAATTATCTGGACCGGGTAGTTGTCAAGCTATCGTTATCACAGCTATTTCAATTAGTTGATGGTTCCGGGATCCTAAATTGCTGTCAGATAAGCAAGGGCCGAACGAATTAAGAACCCTGAGGTTGAAGATCGAAGCTTGTCTGAACGTACACGAGTCAGCCGGTGTGCTAGGGAACCACTTTCAAACGGTTGAGCACGCCTGGAACCAGGAAAGGCTGTAGATATCTATCAGGGGCCACGTCCCGTCGATTCGCAATATTCCCGAGACTTTTTCCAGTTAAAATGCCCTATGAGGTATTTTTTTATTTTTAACTCACTAATTATCTGATTAAACTGTAGCGCCATCCCTCTATGTCGCATGCCCGTTTGCTCTCGCCGCCACAATGGCCGCTTGACTCACTGCAAGGGGACAAGGAACCCCCTGAATGATCTCGTTTATTTTGAGTTCAAGCTTTACACCATTATGGAGAAGGTCAAATCGAGATAGATATTGATACGGCAGTAGTCGCTTGACTCGAGGAGTGCGAATCGAGTTGAAATAACCCGTATCAGCAACAGCGAAACACATGTCGAAAAAGTCCTAGGGTTTATGAAGTATGTCTAAGAGTGAGGTTCACCGGACTATCCACAAGTGCGAAGTCAAAGAAGGAAAGTTCTTGCATACTGAACCGAGAACTATCACATTTATGGCGAACGGGGTAGGCAGAATGCTGATGACGACGGTCTCTTCGATAACATTGACACTGGGAATATGCAGAGTTGCCGACTGTTCGTATTGCCGCTGGAAAGACCTTTTCCATGGTCTGTCTCAGCTAGGAGATTTACGTGCCAAAGACATTATATTAATACGAAATCGATTGCGTAATGAGACCAATGAAGTACAGCCGCTTTTCATTCTCGGACGGCCGGCTATATGTAGCCGCTGTTGGCTGACTCCATGCAGGTCGACTGTTCACGCCAATTGAACTTCTTTGTCAAGCGCCCTGCTGCCTTCCGCAAGGCTTTCATCGGGCAATGGAAAATTGAGGGGTAATGTGGAGGCTACCTCTTGTACTCGCTCAACAACTCCGCGAAGGGATCTTCTGTTCTCAAATCCACCACAAGCGACCTCTCGAAGCGAGACTTCGTGTCTGGGTTCCGCAAGGTCTGAGTAGCTGTTACTCTTGCTGCATCACGATGTCAGCCAACGAGTCGAAGCGTCGTTCTGAACCCAGGTCGTCAGAGAAGGCCGCGTTCCAGTATCAGCCCTTGGAAGAGGGGATTGACTGCACGAGATTTTTGAAGATTCAACCCGCGATAAGCGACAACGACCCCATCAGCTGTGACCTGGTGCAGATTCCCTTCTGTGACAGGCCAAGCTACGAGGCATTGTCATATAGATGGGGCGAAAACATCTTCACACAAACAATAACGCTAAATGGTAGCAAATTCCTCGTAGGAGAGAACCTCCACGATGCGCTTCACTACCTTCGAAACCATGGCAATGTTGGCCTCCTGTGGGTCGACGCGATCTGCATAGATCAGACGAAGACAGAGGAACGCAACAGACAGGTTGCCATAATGAGCCACATTTACTTCAGAGCAGAGACAGTCATCACTTGGCTTGGAAAAAAGTACTCAGAATACCAGGAAGGTATGGGCCATCTTGAGTCACGTTTGGCGCTAGAGAACCTCTTCAGGTCTGCGGGCTTTCCAACCGACTCCAACTCACCCAACGACGCACACGCAGCTCGCCTGAAGACCGAGAGCGATATGGTCCACCGATTGGCAAAAGACGAGTACTGGAGTAGAGTCTGGATAATTCAAGAAATTGGACTTGCCAAACAAAGGCGCGTTGGTTTCGGCAACATGACCATGCATTGGAACAGTTTCATCAAAATGATGACGCTTCACAGCACAATTGCTGAAGGGCCTGTTCTTTTAAATCAGCAAATCGAAAGGAAATACGAAGGCTCCCATACACTCAGAAGCCTCCTCTACGAATATCGAAACTCTCAGTGTCAAGACCCCAAGGATAAGATTTATGGATTAATTGGTCTGGCAGTAGATGGCCACGGCTTTCCGAAACCAGACTACAACAAGCCACCGATTCAAATCTGGACAGATGTCATGGAGTTCATGAATGGCCATAGATTGTTTGACGAGAATAGCGAAAATGACATTATCTTCTGCGGCACATTGGTAAGATACCTTCTTATGGGCACACAAAGCACGCCGGTTCAACAAGTTCTGGGGCCATGTGTGGCAGAAGCGGAGACAAAGCTGATACACATACCCGAGATGTATTCTCGGAACAAAGACTCAAGGGTTTTTGAATTTAAGGGTTACGTGGTTGGTTGTATTCAATCTATTGGCCCTTCTACGAGAGACATTGCTGGTAATCTCGGAAAAGTCGACGAATGGTCTTTACAAGTCCAGGTCAACTATCAATACGATCTTGGCGCTGCCTACGAGCAAAGCAGTAATCTTTTGAGAGCCCTTTTGGCCAGAGAAGATTTGGAAGTCTCGCGTCTTTGCTCCAATCAAGCGAGTCTCGTTAAATGGACAGGCTTGGCAAACTCGGGTGGTCCACAGGGAGACTATATCAAATGGTTTGATGAATACAAGGCCGAATCTAAGGCTACCGAAAGTTCGAGGCTTGCCGAATTGTCTTCGAGCACTGAAGTCACGGTTCTCTACCAACTTTTTTCAAAGTATTCTGCGAAGCCAAGGGACAAATGGAAGATGGGAGTTGCTTCGGGTCAAGTCGAGAGGGGTGATTTGGTATGTTGGGTTCGAGATACAAAAACGGCATTGGTTGTGCGACCAACCGGGAAATTTACGAAAGGGCCGAATGACTACGCGGAATTCCAAGTCATCGGTACGGCAGTGATTGGCGAAGATATCGTCGACTCTAAGATTGATCATTCGCCACGATTAGACTTCCTAAGTGGGTACAACGGTGGTTTCAGACATGGAACAATGAAATTGAAGTTTGATGCTCGAATTGTATACATAATTTTGCCTTCAAGTTAGAACCAATTGCGGCTGTCGAGTCAGAGCTTGTGTTGGTTTGGATAGTGGTGCGAGTTGCTCCGCAATATTTGACAATGTTGGGTGTGCAATACAAGAAATCGTTTACATTTGGGAAGAGGTGACAGGATTCACCAGCTACAGCAACTAGATACAGCTATCACTTTAGACCAAGAATATATCTACTGTGACTGGCAATTATGCCAATAGAAATGGGTGCGGTCAGCGACAAAGAATTATACTGGGACTTTGCGAAGTTCTGAGAATTCAAAGGATTTATACCCTGCAGTTTGGACTCAGTGAGACGGGGATGAAAATCTGGGGTTCGGACGACTGTACGTCAGAGCCGAGTGATATCAGTCGGTAATCGACGTAAGACTGGCAATTGAAATAAGTGTAAGAAGTACGAATTCACAAAGCTCATAAGATTGGGAGGTGGTAAAAGCGTTTGCAACAGGTCAGGCGAAATGCAAAAAGGCTTCTCTGTACTAGGTACCATCTACGAACATGAACTTTGATGTTTACCAGCAGAGGCCCCGGGATTCCAAAGAAGGCGGCAATCATAACAAAGCTACCCTGATCCCAGGACCGGATCCAGAAGAGGCAGTCCAGTTCCGATTGCAAAGCCTTTCCGGGAATTATGTGGTATGAACTTGGTTACGCTCTTCACAATTCTTGATCGCCCACTGATCATGTTTAACCTACCTAGGCAACTTGAGCCAGCCCGCAAGACCCCCATGATCCGTACAACTAGCCAATGTATCACAAGATCACAATTGCGGCTGTTTGTCTTGGGCCAAGCATTTGCGCCTTTCCTCATCTCAGCTTCGTCCGAGTTGTACGGGAGAAAGCCTGTCTGGATTGTTTCGTGCTGCTTCCATCAGCTTTGGAACGCACTCTGTCCCATCGGAAAGAGTGCGCCCTTGATGACTGCTGGAAGGTTCCTGTCCGGTCGCGTAGCCAGTGCTGGTATAGTGGTATTTTATTCCCGAATACATACTCACTGATACCTTAATATGAACTGACGATGGTTGATAGTTGACAGGTCCCATCATGGCTGACATGTACCGGGCCAAAGACCGTGGTAAATCTCTTGCAATAGCATTGTTCACCCCATATTTTGGTCCTGCGCTCGGCCCCATCGTTGGCGGGCATGTGTCGGATCATATCGAATGGCCGTGGCTGTTCTAGACATTGTCCATAGTCTCAACAGGGAACACATTGATCGCATACTTCTTGGTTCATGAGACCTACACGCCGATCTTGCTTCAGCGCAAACTTGAAAGTCAGTCCTCGGGCAGCCGCAATCGCCCAGGTCCGCCATGGAGGAGAAATATCCATAATAGGCTTCCCAAGGGACCATCAACTCATCTTCTCAGACCGATGAAAATCCTGACCAGTCGTCCAATCATCCTGATTATATCATGGACCTGGGCAATCAGCTTCGATCTCTACATTCTCGTTCTCTCAACCATCGTTAGCCCTACATCATCTTCGGTATCATTCTCCTCCCCGTCGGCTTGTTCT